AATCTATTCTCTCAGTAGTAGTATTCGCAGCACGTACTTGTGTCACTAATTTTGACTTCCCAGCCCTCCACAAACTCCCCAATTGCTTGAAAATAACAGGTTTCTGCCACTCTTCTTGCAAGTTAAACCTCTCCTGCATCGAAATAACAAAAGATCAAACAAATTTCTAAATTCATGCTTGCACTACAAAACTTATTTTTGTATATAAACATACCTGAATTTCTTCCCACATTGTTTCTTTGGTCACTGCATCAAGTCTTCTCCAATCTATTAGTGTTACCAGAACGTGTTCCCTCACAAGCGGACCAAGGAAAGATGATAATGTTACTGAACCAGGTCCAACATGCTCACCAAAGTCAGTGAATGTAACTGCAACCTTTTCATTCGGATTCTCAGCCACTCTACGCATCTTTGTTGGTCATCTTTTATTTTTGGCTTTCACCTCATCATCTGGTAACACAATTCCTTCAGTACTAGGAATTTCAGCTTGTTGAGTATTGCTAACTCCATCTTCTTCCATAGGGAGAGATGCTTCTTCTTTCTCTTTCTCATTCTCTACGTGTTCACCTTCTTCTTCATCCTCCTTCTGTTCCATATTGGCATGTTATTCTTCATCCTCCTTACCATCTTCTTCTTCATCCTCCTTACCATCTTCTTCTTCATCCTCCTTTTCTTCCATACACGCATCATCTTCCACATCGTTCTCTACATGAGTTACATCTTCAACCTCATTATAATCCGGAGTTACATCTTCTACCTCATCATCATACGGAGTTACAGTCTGTTTCTTCTTTCTACCCCTTCTTCTCTTAGTTGCAGCCACAGTTTTTTTTGGGGGAGCCACTTTATTTGCTATTGTCTTCTTATTCACAGACACTGTCTTCTTTGGGGAAGCCACTCTCTTCTTCGGGGAAGCCACTGTCTTCTTAGGGGAAGCCAATGTCTTTTCAACCTCCAAGCCTTGATTACGTTTACTACGACGAGAACCCACTTTTCCTCCTCCTCTTGTCTTCGGCGGCATTTCTGAGAAGTTCCAAACAAAATACATTAGATCGAAACACAAAAGAGTGTAAATCGAAACACAAAAGCACAAACTTCCCAGAATAGTCTTAATCGAAACCCAAAATCACAAAATTGCACATGAATGTTCGCGAAAACTAAGAATCGAAACCCAAAATAGACTAAATCCAAACNTCTTGTCTTCGGCGGCATTTCTGAGAAGTTCCAAACAAAATACATTAGATCGAAACACAAAAGAGTGTAAATCGAAACACAAAAGCACAAACTTCCCAGAATAGTCTTAATCGAAACCCAAAATCACAAAATTGCACATGAATGTTCGCGAAAACTAAGAATCGAAACCCAAAATAGACTAAATCCAAACCCAAAATCAAAATCTAGCACATGCATGTTCACACAAACCAAGAATCAAAATCCCAAATCAAAAACTTTTTCGACTCCAATGATGGTATTGAAGAACCGATATAGATGAGAAAAGAACAAAGAAGCTAAGATTGAAGCAGAACATACCTTTTTAAGCTTCGATTACTCAGAGAAACAGTGGAGAAGGGTTTCTTTAGCCAAGAATTTGTTTTAAGAGAAGTGAAGAAAGAGATGAATTTCTATCGACTAGTGGACTTATATATTATAATCTTAGATATATACATTTAAAATAGCGTTTATATTTACTTTTGCAATGGTAAGCCGCCTACACTAAGAAATTTAACGCGGCTAAACATTTTTATTTTCCCGCAATAACGAAAATAGCGTTTCAAAAAGACAAACGCTATACAAAAGGCAAGTCTTGATATACAATAGCATGACTGAAAAATCCGCTATCATACGATGCTATTAAAACCCACATTTCTTGTAGTGCTAGTTACACCATGTTATACAGTTTTACCAAGTTGTACATTTGTCCAAGGTACAACTTGGTAAAACTAGAACCTAGTTACACTAAGTTATATAGTTTTACCAAGTAGTACATTTGTCAAAGGTACAACTTGGTAAAACTAGAACCTAGTTACACCAAGTTATACAATTTTACCAAGTTACACGAAAGTGAAACTACAAATGCAGAAAAACTTGGTAAAACTAAACCTAGTTACACCAAGTTACTCGAAAGTGCAACTTGGTAAAACTGTTTTTGGGTTTGTAGATTCACTTTCGTGTTTTAGATCAAAAAAATGAAAATAAAGAAAGTAGATGGAGGAAGAGACAAATCTAGGAAAATCAGAGACGACTCTAACAAAAATGGAGACAGGTCTAACAAGGAAAAACACATAAAAGAAGAGAAAACAGAAGAAACGAAAGAGAAGGAGGAGAAGGCGGAGGTGGAAGAAGAAGATGAAGCAGAGGACAAGGAGGAGGACGATGACGAGGACAAGCAGAATCTATCTATATTTATGCAGTTTAATTACGTGGAGGAGGACGATGACGAGGACAAGCAGAATCTATCTATATTTATGCAGTTTAATTACCTTGCTTGTATTATGAATTTCTTAGCTATGTCTGGGTAATTCACTTGTTAGAGTTAGGGTTTCAATAGGTTAGTGGGATTAGCTCCAACTATAGGATCACTTGTTGTTGTATTCATTAATAGGATGTTCGTAATTCTTATGTTCTAGACTTGCTAACTAGAAACCTGAACTTATGAGTTATAGATTGTTTAAGCAAGCTTTAGACAATTCTGATTATCCTAAATACATCATATTAAACTACGATATTACTAGAGAGAAGGCGAGAGTATCGATCAACATTGTTATTGATCAAACATTATTGTTTGGATCAATAAAGGTCTAGTTAATAGACTTATCCAGTAAGCGAGAGCCTAATGAATTTATTATTTTGAGGTTAAGATCTTTAGTACCATGCAAACAACAAATTAGCACCTATAGGATATAATCTCCAACACCTGAATAAATCCCTAAGTCTAACACCTTTGCAATTTAGTTCAACCCTCATTCTATTTAGTTGAGTAATTGTCTTTCTCAACTAGGGTATTAACTATTTCATGTTTACTTCATTATTACAATTTTACTTTTAAAACAAACCTAGCATTATTACTCGATTAGATTTAATTGGTTCCCTAGATCCTTGTGGATTCGATCTCAAAGTACTACAGCTGATCTCTTATTTGAGAGAGTAAAGTCACTCCTTATGGCAATTTGGATGATATCATATAGCATTACAGATAGCAACCACATTCTGATCTATTTCAGCCATTTCATCTCTAACTATCAAGTTAATGATATTGGCATTACATCTCATGTGTAAGAACTCCCACCTAATACAAAAAGCTTGATCCAAAACAAAAGAAAAAGTACTCTAAACTTCCTCAAACCTGAACTATTGACAGTAGCATTATCTACGGTTATACAGAAAACCTTTTCTAATTCCCCATTCAGCCCAAAACTCTAGTATAGCACATGCTATAGTCTGACCTTTGTGATATGTGATATGTGATATGATTGAATCCTGTTATCAGCTTCTTTAACCGTCAAGAAGCATCAATAAAATGCACTGCCATGACCATATAACTCGCACATGTATAAAATGAACAATAAAAATACTATGATCAGCTTTTTATATGTATACAAGAATCAAAGAATGTCTAAGTTTTTATTATAGATTACATGTAGTTTGGGAAACACAAATATCTCTACCAGAGATACTCGTTGTTTATTATACAAGAACCATTTCTTGAGTGCATCTTTTCTTTCCACATACATCTTGACAATGTCTTTACTCTTTAGTCGAAGTCTTATTCTATGAGGAGTGAACACGGTTGTCTACAAACAGAAAACATAAGACATTAGTTGCAGAAAATGCTAATGGCAAAAATATACCGAGAAGCTAAGTAAAGAACTAACCTTGTCACATAAATGTTTCCATGCTACACTTTCAGCAAATGCTAAAGGAAATTGTCGTAAGACAAGCATCTGATTTGTGGCTTCTCTAAACTGACCTTCAGTCACATTTTCCTTCTTAAGTTTCTCATCATCATCAATCAGGGGTTACTTATCTTTTTGTTTAGCTGACCAAGCAAGATGGCTCTTTCATTTTCAAGATGTTTCTCCAGATTTGAGGTCTTTGAGGCTGTCAAGCATGAAAAGATGTTCTTGAAGTAGTTTCATAAATCTTGTGTTGATCTTCTTTAGTTCTTGTGTAATGATCCCCAAAATTCTGACTTTGTAGGGAGAATACGCTTCACTTTTCTCGGCTGAGATGTTGCTCTACTTGCTGGCGAAGTTTCTTTCCTCTTTCCGCTTTGGTGTTTGAATGTCTCCTTCATCTTCTTTGTTATGTATTTCTCGGTTGAGAGATGATGTTGAGTCCATCTGCAAAAAGAAAGAAAGAAAACACACAAAATCAATTCGTGTTCTAAACTCTATTATAACAACTCTTAATCCTAAAATATAGTAGATAAGGTAACTTATGGAACAGCTAAGTTCCACAAACCAAACTGTATCTTAAGTATTTACTTAAACTCAAACTCAACTAAGTACTCATGCAAATGGTAAGAGAGGAACTCAAACACTGATAAGACTCAACTCGTCAGAACAAAGAAGAACAAGAGTCGACGAAAGAGAGAGACAATACCTGCGATTGGATTCTCGAATGCTCAAATGAAGCAGGAGATTGAGAGGCTAGGTGATTTATAGTGGCCAGTTTGAGTTTCTTAATAATGATGATAAAACATCGAGGAAGCTTTTACGGAACTAGGGTTTGTCGCCGAACCGAAACTCAGAAACCAAATAGATTCTCAATATATGTGTAAATGAATGAATGTATGTACGAGAAATGTACAGTATGTATATACAAAAATAGGACACCACAATGCCCACAACAGATACAACGCCCATGAAGGTTAATATACTACGTAATTGCATGGTGACTTGACTTGCAACAGAAAGCTTACGTATCCATTAATAAGCTCAGCTTCACTTCAGCATAACTCAGAGAGTTCACGCAAGTTTTGAGAAAATTTTCTAGCTACTTCAGAGTAACTCAATATCCCCACGTAAATTTGCGAGGCACTCTCTTAGTTTGCTAACAATGGCAGACATGGTTGGTCGTTTCGTTGAGGAACGATCTGCACATGACATTGCTAGTCGAAGAGCATTCCATACACATGGAGAGTTATAATCCACACCCAAGTTCGGATCAATGATTCTTATGACCTCTTCCCGGTTAAGCTCAAACATCACCCATTGCGTTATGTTAGACCTTTCACGGTTTTTATCAGTCACTGGTTTGTTTGTAATCATTTTAAAAATTTCAATAGCGCAACTCCAAAACTGTACACATCGCTCTTCTTAGACGACCGACCTGTACCATGATATCTACAAAAGGGAAGAGCATGCATGATATTCTCTTCAGCCATCGAAGGAGAAAATCACGGAACAAATTGTAATGCATTAATTTAATTGTTAACTACCACTACTTACTCTGGTTCAAGGTATCCAAGAGTGTCAGCAGCCACAGTATAGACGTGATTTCCCCCAACAAGTGGGGAAGATCTCGAGAGCCCAAAATCTGCAAGCTTGGCTTGGAAGTTCTCACCTAATAATATGTTTGCAGTTTTGACATCTCTACTCTATGAATCATTGAGGGTGTGCATGTGTAAATAATCTATGCCTATATATACACTTGAGCCTTTATATTAACTGCTTATCATGAATCAACTGAATCAGTTAATTCTTAATGGAAACCTTGTGCGTCCTCCAAGGCTATTCTTAGCCGCATACCCCAGCTGATGATAGGTGTTACCGTACGTGTTTTCCTGTATATTAAACCATTAGGTCCTAACGGAATATTTGAGTTCCTCAATCTAGTTCATGTATTCATTAGCAAATGTTACGTGATAGATGTTCTTTTAAATCTCCAATGGGTAAAAACTCGTAGATGAAAGCAAAGTGATCTTCTTCCTCGCAATATCTGACTATATTTACCAAATTTGTATGGTGAACTCTAAGAAGAAGATCAAACCTAATTCACCAATGTGAAGAAAAACAAGAAGTCCACAACCTTTTGATGCTAAAAAAATAATCGTAGCTAAGTTGGGAATATTGCAATAATTAATACATATACATCTGCCGTGAAATGTTTAAAGCCTTGATCAGTTGATGATCCAAAGTGTACTTTAACGGCCACCTGTTCAGAATCATACAGAACGTGATACACTTGATCAAACCCTCCTTTACCTAAAATGCTTTGGAAGTTATTCGTCATTTTAACTACTTCTTTATAAGTAAACATTTTCCTATTCTTTTTTCCTTTCAATGAATTTTCTTGGCCTCGTAAGTTGCAAACCTGTGGAAATAGAAAGGGTAAAACATGCTGTTTTTTATGAGAATTATCATGTAGTGTCTACCGAATATGATTTCATGCTATATTTCCCTGAACTGAATATTTAAACGTGTTTCTACCCAAACTAAACAATAACAATTTTATTTATCTCCAAACCGATAATTCGAAACTTCATTACACATAAACCATTATCTTAATCGGTTATTTACTTACCTAACAAAACTCAATTTAAATTAAGCCAAACCATTTGACTCAAAAAAAAAATAATAATAAATAAAACAGACCCGTCAACCTGACCCATTATTCTCTTCATCTTCACCCGCACCCAATCTTTACATCTCCAGTCAAGTTTCTGATTCTTAGACACAATGCTCACCTGTCCAGACCCTTCGAACTCACCACTTTTCTGCCACAGATTCTTATTCTCTTCCATGGGAAGGTTGAAGAAATCTTTAACCGTTGTCTCTAATATTTCCAGGATATATGTTTCTATTCCATGGTTGACTAGCTTGAAACAGATTGAAACTAAATACAAAGAGAGCTTTTGATATAAAAACAAGATTCAAGATCTAGAAAAATATTTTATTTGAAAAAGTCCACAATCTTGCAAGCTAGATCGAGCTTCTCGATCTCAGTATCCATGGCAGAAACAGAACACAAGCTTATTTTGTGATGACTGGAATCTTGAACTCAGACTGACAGTTCTAAGTTCTCTTTCACAATCTCTAGAACAAATGATACTAGGAGAGAGGTCCACTGTATTTCTCCTCCATCGGTTTATACCGCCAGAGAACAAATTAAATCCTTGGAAAATTTGATCCACACAACAACTAAGAAGAAATAAGATTGTAACTTATAATTAGAGGAGCAATACGTCACAATATTCAATTCAGGGAAAGGTAACATGAAGTTATGGTCTAGTGGATATTTGATGTTATATGATAATTCTCGTGGTAAAATAACACATTAACCCCATTTTAAATTATCAAATTGGATTATTCTCCCACTAAACCTTCTATTTGGCAATATACTACATGCCACCATTTTGATACAGTACATGAGCAAAAATAGGAGATTTGAAACTTAAGGGATGTTGTGAGAGTTCTGAATCATGAGAGTGAAATGAACTGGGAAATGGTTGGTGTCAAAATCGGTCACGACGGAATCAATGGTTAAAAGTTTTCGTATAAATAAAAATACGTTTTATAAAACACGAGAAGCCGTTTTATAAAATTCTAAGAAACTTCTGAACAAAGAAAATCCGCGGAAAATTTGGAAATCGTCATCTCGGAAGAACGAACAAAACAAAACGTCGATTAAACGATTGTCCGAGTTAACCACAAAACCGCGAAAAAAAAACGCATCCGCCGTAAACCGCGAGCAGGTTCGACCGAACCAAGTTCAACGTACAACGAGCCGAACCAACCGGTTCAGCTCGCCGTACGGCGAACTGGTCGGTCCCGGACCAGCTAGCCGTACGGCGAGCTGGTTCGGCCAAACCAGCTCACCGTACGGCGAGCTGGTTCGACCAAACCAGCTTGCCATACGGCGAGCTGGTCACTTCACGAACAGCTCGCCGTACGTCGAGCTGACTGTCCTGAGCCTTGACCTCCCACGTCCTCGACTCAAGGCATACGTCCTTCGGTTCGATCGTGTTCTGAACCACGGTTGAAGCATCTCTCGTTTCATCTCAATCCGTCCTATCATTCAAGTTTTACAATAAAAACCGTAAAGTCTTGTTTTCTCGAAAGAACTCGAAGAAATCGTATAAAACAGCAACGGTTAAACGAAACGCCAAACATTGCCAAACTTTGCGATTAGCTCGAGAAACTTATTTAAAAAAACGGCACCGCATCAGGAAACGATCTCGTATAAAGTCGTAAAACGGTTTTATCGCAAAACGGCTTGAAAAGTCCTAAAACGCGAAAAAATCGAATCTCGCGACTTTAACGAAGTCTAGCCCAAAGATACGACGACGTTTTAACGATTTACTCGCAGAAAGAAGATAAATGTCAAATTTGAAGATAAATGTCAAGTTTGAGGATAAATAGAAAATTTCTGCGGGAAAAAAGGAAAGATAAAGATAAATGGAAGATTCTCAATAAACTCGAATGTGGGAGAAATGGAAGGACTAAACCGCATAGGAAGGGATTATATAAGCAAGAGGCAGAGGACAGAAGCAGAGGACGAATTTCAGAGCTCTCATCTGAGACTTTTACAACTTTTCTAGATTTAGAGTTTTCCGCACTTAGAAACTTAGGCTTTATTCTCGACAAGTTCGGTTTCTATGATTGGCGCTCAATTACTAGACAAACTCGCACAGGCAGTTAGATCTCTTGTCCAGATCTACCAATTGAACTACGTTCGACTTGATCCTCGAAAGGGGTACGTAGGCAGCATTTCATAAGGTTCAGTCTAAAATCAATCAAACTCTCTTTTCTTATATTTTTTCGTCTTTTGTTATCGAGCTGCGACTCGACTAGGTTTAGGGTTTTATGTTGATAACTCGCTGAAGGCCCCTGCGGCCAAGGCCTTTGTAATCTCTTGAAAAGATCGCAACGCTCTTACGCGAATTCGAAATAAGATCGACTTTCTTTAAAATTCGTTTTATCGTGTTTTCATATTTTCCGCATTTATTTGGTTACTTGTCGTTGGCTTTCGCAGAGATCCGAGTCCTCTGGAAAATTAGGGTTTTCCTAAGTTTCCTTGTTTTACGGAAATCGACGGTGTGAATTTCGGTTACCACAGTTTGGTGCTAGAAGGAGGGGAGTCGGATAACTCTTTCTCATAGCCGCAAAAAACTTGATCAAAACGATGTCTAGAAATATGAAAGACAAAGTCGCAGCTCGCAAAACGCTGGTAGAACAACTCCAGCAGCGACTACTCCTATAGCCAATGCTCACGTAAACGCTGTAGTACTTAACAAAATCGAAAACCTAATCGCGACTTTTCGCCACGGGAATAGCAACAAAACAAGCTCCAATTTCTATCTCAGATCACTAAGGGCAACGATAAAATCTATCAAACCCATAACGATCTTCTCCAACTTGATAAAACAAGTTTCGTAAAAGAATCGAAAAATTATACGAGAAATCTTTAGGCGTCAAAGCATTGCTCTCATTTTCCGTCAAACCAAATTAGTCACGGAATAATATCAAGAACATTTTCAGAGAAAAGATAAATCGAGAACACAAAACAGCAATAGAGAACACGTCCACCCTTCTTGCCGACTTTCTTGCCAACTAATCCTATTGCTGGTCATGTGATTCGTTCCGCTCAAGAAACCCGTTTAAACATTTTTCGACTAGATCTCGGTGAAATAACTTCTGAAAAAACTCCGTGAGTGACTCCAAAAAATTATCACCGAAGGATAAAAAAAAATAAAAAAAAAATAAACTAAGCGGAAAGGTTTCTCGAAAATCTACGGAAACATTGTTATCCCAACGCGTCGTGCCGATTTACTAAATTTATCGCCCGTTACTTATGCGAAAAATCCTTCGTATAGCCAGGATCATGTGATAACGAAGTAACTTTCGAAAGCAAACGTAACAGGTTTCACGAAAAATACTTTCCTTATAGCGAAAACCAAGCTATACGATCCGGCACTGAACGACCAATCTAAACTTTGTTTCCTCGCACCACGATCTGAAAGATATCATTCTGCGGTTCACAAGCATCCGCTCTCATTCCTCTTGGTTACATTCGAGAAACTACCCCGTAAACAATTCCGCATGGACTCTGCATCGAGCTTCTTAGGCTCTGTCTCCCTCGGGTAAAAAAGAAATAACTTCCCTACGAAAAAGGAAATACTATACGAAACTTTCATCGTATAAATCGAACCTAAGACGGAAAAACGTTTTTTATAACCACGGGCATACTTGGCATATCAAGCTCGACAAACGCTACTTGGTCCTTGTCCGATCACGCTTCACTTCAATGCTAAGTCTACAAACCGACTCGACCTTATCGATAGCACAAAAGTGTTGTGGTCTAAACCTCTAATAAATACGTCCTCGGCTGTGCGGCTGAATACAACCTGCATGCCAAGCCAATACATTCAACGGATAATGCAAACTTGTCGAAAATAAACTAAGTTCTGTATTATCACGATTCTCTCTATTTCCGAAGCGAGTTGCCTACAAAATCCGGCGTGTAAGAAAACACTCGTAACAGAGCTTCTGAAGCCGTACGAGTTATCCTTAAAATATGTGAAAAAGATTTCGGAAGGTCAACACTTCACAAAGCACCGTAATCAAAAACGCTTCGTTGCGGGGAAACAACTTACGCGATCTCTCGATCCTAATTGCCCTAGCACGAATCATAAAACTACTTAACATCCAAGCAAGAACGTGAGTTTTGGTTGCGAATATCCGCAAACGAACCAAAGTGTTCCTGCAAAGCAAGGTTAAGACAAAACCCTCGCAGCACCGCGCAACATCTTCAAGCCCGCAAACGTTTCGACACGAAACGCGGCATACGAAATAAAAAAAAACAATCTTCGGCATTGCGAGACGTCGCAGACGCCTGAAGAACAGTTTTTCGACACAAATAACCTAAAATTTTGTTGCTGATCACAACAAACTCGCAACAGTCCTAAACAAACTTAAGTTATCTCGCAGAGATAACTCTCGAACACCCGACACAAGGGTAATAGTGCTATAAAAGAAATCCAAACTTTTGGTCAGCACTTCCGGGCAACTTAGAAATTGTTCCCAGTGAGATGCTTGGTTCCAACCAGACGAATTGTATAAGCCGGTATGGAATCAGGTTAAAATCACAACAGGCAAAACGTAAGCCGACTAGTCATCGCATAGCCTCAATCTGAAAGTAAACCTAGGTCTTTCCCTAAACCCAGCACACTGGTCTCTAAACGTCTCAAGGCATGAATCGAGATCCTAAAGGCATGTCTCTTCGTCTATATC